AAATATTGACGTTTCTTTTTTTTGTTGACTATTATTTTTTTGGTTGTGTCTTTTTATCGCAACTTTCCGTTAAAATATTAACATTACTTTTTACGTTTGTGTCTTTTTATCGCAACTTTTCTATAAAATATTAACGGTTATTTTTTCTCGGTTGTATCTTTTTGTTCTAGCTCTTTGTTAAAATATTTACGGTTACAATTTTTCATTGATGGTTATTTTTTCGGTTATGTCTTTTTATCATAACTTTCAGTTAATATATTGACGGTTTCTTTTTTTGTTTTTGTCTTTTTATCGTATCTTTCCGTTAAAATATCGAAGGTTTCTTTTTCTCGGTTGTGTCTTTCTATCGTAACTTTTCGTTAAAATATTGACGGTTATTTTTCTCGGTTGTGTTTTTTTATCGCAACTCTTCGTTAAAATATTGACGGTTATTTTTTTCCGTTTGTGTCTTTTTATAGTAATTTTTCGTTTAAATATTGAGTGTTATTTTTTCTCGGTTGTGTCTTTTTATCGCAACTCTTCGTTAAAATATTTACGGTTACATTTTTCGTTGACAGTTATTTTTTCTGATGTGTCTTTTTATCATAACTTTTCGTAAAAATGTTGACATTTACTTATTTTGTTGTGTCTTTTTATCGCAACTTTTCGTTAAAATATTGACGGTTATTTTTTCTCGGTTGTGGTTTTTTATCGCAACTTTTCGTTAAAATATCGACGGTTATTTTTTCTCGGTTATGTCTTTTTATCGCAACGCTTCGTTAAAATATTGATGGTTACTTTTTGTGTTGACGGTTATTTTTATATCTTTTTGGTTTTGACCGCTAGAATTTTTCCTCTGTATATTATAACTCTTCGTTAGTTATTTTGTCACTTATAAATAATTTTATATTCACAAAAAATGTTTCAAAAGTGTTTTTAATCATAATTTTGTTTTTTACATTTTTATTCATAAATTTTTTTTAATATATTTAGAAAATATTTATGATATAACTTTAAGACAGTTAATTTTATATAATAATTCAATTATTTGAATATATTATAAAATATTTTAATACATAAACATAATAAAATATATTTGTTGAAAATGAGTTTCCCGCGATATCGCGGGGTTCATATCCTAGTAATTAAAATAATTAAATAGACATGACCCCTGTAAATAAAAATACTGGCTCCGCGACTTGGCCTATATAAAAACCACTTATGATCAATTAAAAATCATCTTTCAACAATTTATCTTATTCTCTAAAAGAGCTTGTGCAACAACCCAGCTGAGAGCTTATCACATAGCTCCGTCCTCATGAAGAAGTTGGAGCGACTTGGTAATTGTTTCTGTTTCCAATTACTTTTTTAATAATTTTTTATATTAACAATTTTAATATTATTTTACTAATATGTATGTTATTTCCAAATTGTAGGTTTAGACAAAACAAATGGCATCACCAAGTCTATTTAAAAAAATTTACAATCACAACTCGAGCATCCATATCCCAAATTGTCACACATTCCGAATGATGTAAAAGAGACATGGTTCAAATCCTTTTCGGCAAGTAGACATGAAATTCCTTTTAATTAGACATGTCTATGATATGTTTCACAAAAAAAAAAAGAAAGACATGTCTATGATTATTTTTTATTTTATTCCATAAAAAGATTTCAATTGGAAGTCGCAACATTCGAATCTCGTATTTGCCGAGTTCTTGACTCTTGAGCCAAGCGACAACCTCGTATAAATAGACAATTTGAACGAGTGGAAGCAAAAGTGAATAGAAGGGAAGAAGCTGCCAAAGGGTTTAAACGATGACGTTTGGAAAGGCTTCATATGTAATATTGGAGTATGGAAGAGACAAATTCCCTTTCACAAAAAAAAACTCAAAGAATAGGAAGGGCAACAATGATAAGGCGGTACCAATGCACAAACACGGGTGCAATGACATTTGAGATCCGTGTAGGTTCGACGTGTGATAAATGACTCATGTACAATTACATTTAATGTGGCTTGTTCATGCTTATACTCGTCAATGATTTTGCAGTGTTGGTGCAGGAATTAGCACCTCCGACAATACCGACTTAAACCGGACGAATTGTGAACTAATCTGAGAATTCAGTTAAACCAGGGAATCCCGGTTAGGCCTGTTAATGGGCCAGAGAAAGGAGGTCGCCTGGCGAGCTCGACCTGAAAACATGATATCGCCTAAACCGACTTCTCGTCCAAGAAAATGGAAGATTTTCCTTAAAGAAAAAGGAGAATCGCGAAAAGAAAGGAAAAGCAGAAGATAAGACCCCGAAGATTCGGAAGTTTAACTTATCTTTAACCGCCTTAATTATGTATAATTAGAGGGGTTTGTCCTCTATTGAAAGGCATCCGCAACTTTATGCAAAAACCCTAACTTTGTCTCTAAGCAATAAAATTCATCTTTCTTTTGAGTCTTTGATCAGAAATAGCAAGAGAGTTAATTGAATTTATTTTGCTCCTTTAAAAAATTTATTGTGTGATTTTTAGAATCAACAATTGGCGCCGTATGTTGAACTTCGAGCTCGTGACCCAGAGTGACATTCGCCATGTCACCGTTGACGAGCAGGATCCTGAAGCCTAGCGGCCTCCACCTCTCCTATCTCATTGTTTTTATTCTTTCTTGTCTGTTCGCCTTGTAATTTTTTCGAACCTGATTCAACCGTGGACCCATTTTTTTGGGGCGGTTTTTAATTTCCTTCTGGATATTTTTCCCTTATTTATGCAAGTTTCTTTTTCCTCGTTCGAAGTAAAAAGAAAAAAACTAGTATTAGTCATTTCCTTTTCGAAAAAGGAAAACAAGATGTTTTCCTTTTTTCATTCGGAAATCCAATTAGACCGACTCTTAATTGTTGGTATAAATATCTCCTCCGGGTGGTGCCAACACCATCGAAAAAATCCAAAGAACTTCTTTCCTTCTCAAAGTATGGAAAGCTCCGGTTCTTATTCCGCGGTTAACCACGACGTTCCAACCTTTTCTAACGCCGAAGCGATCGAAAGGGGCATGACCTTCTTTAACAACGTTCGCGTTCTGTGGACTTTCCTGTTTCAGTTAAACCTAGACGATAGACGTGAGGCGGAAGGCTTTCTCTCGTGCGTTGAAAGCAGACATAAAAAATACCATGACCTGCTGTCTTTTCACGATGATCGCAGATCCGAACTCCTTTATAAACTAGGTTTGCTGGAATTAGCACCTCCGACAATACCGACTTAAACCGGACGAATTGCGAACTAATCTGAGAATTCAGTTAAACCAGGGAATCCCGGTTAGGCTTGTTAATGGGCCAGAGAGAGGAGGTCGCCTGGCGAGCTCGACCTGAAAACATGAGATCGCCTAAACCGACTTCTCGTCCAAGAAAAAGGAAGATTTTCCTTAAAGAAAAAGGAGAATCGCGAAAAGAAAGGAAAAACAGAAGATAAAGCCCCGAAGATTCGGAAGTTTAACTTATCTTTAACCGCCTTAATTATGTATAAATAGAAGAGTTTGTCCTCTATTGAAAGGCATGCATCCGCAACTTTATGCAAAAACCCTAATTGTTTTTGAGCAAAACCCTAACTTTGTCTATAAACAATAAAATTCATTTTTCTTTTGAATCTTTGATCAGAAATAGCAAGAGAGTTAATTGAATTTGTTTTTTTCCTTTAAACTAATTCATCGTGTGATTTTTAGAATCAACATGCAGTATATCAGATCACTAATTGATTGTAGTTCATAGGCGTTTATCACCATTATAGGTTGTCAGCCTAACATCATCTAGATACATTTCTATTAATAAAATAGATTTATACATGTATGTAAAATACAAGTTACAAAAACATCTCTATGCTTAACCTTAGTGCATCTCCATCAATTAGAAACTCATGAGACTATCTTATCAATAAATAAATCAATAGTATTTTAAAAGAATTGCTCATAACAAAACAAATCTTATAAAAATTACAGCGGAAGTCATACTTGCACACATGAAAATCTACTACAAGTCTTCCTCCTCAAACTCCTACCTCGTCCACAAATTAAAGACGTACTCTTGACCATATAAAAAACTTCTTTAGTGAGTACAGATCATATTGGTTAGTATCGTGCCTAAGAAATGCTAGCTACAGCAAAACAAATTACATGTACCCATTTTAAGACAAAAAAAAATAAAATAATAAAAAATATCATAATATTGTTTCTAAATTAGTGATAATGAAAACATATAATATAGAAATTCTAAGAAACATACATTATTGGTTTTCCTATATAATCGTTCACCAAAGACAGATAATTGATTTCTAACAAACTCCATCATTACAAATGTAATAACCAAACCATTCAACTTGTATGCTAACGATAAGAATTATAATATCATGCATTTCTCAAACAAACAGACCAAACATGTAATATAATATATTACAGTATTACACTAAATACATAACCCTAAATTTACCTAAAATGTGGCCTTCTATTATTGTTATTTTGATCGTGGAAAGCGTTATTTATGATACAAATCTTTAAATATACAGAAATAAAACTTGGACTAGTTAGGAGTTCGAGGAGGAAGACTTGTAGTAGATTTTCATGTGTGCAAGTATATTGGACTAGTTCTGGATAGCGTTATTTATGATACAAATCTTTAAATATACAGAAATTCATAATTTTTCTCAAACTTTAGAATAGATAAAATACGGGAACATGATGACTTGCAACCCATTACAACACATAATGTACATGTGGAAACACATTTTGTTTCAGACTACATCTTATTAAAAAAATTGCAAGTATTTCACTAAAATTTGATACATGACAAAATTTAAATTAATCAAATCAAACCAAAGCTTTAGATGCTAATTTTGTTATTACATGTTGTATTAAAACCTATTTGTTTTTGTAAACATATATTTCACTAGTTATGTATTATTACATTTTAAAATCAGAGAAACTTTTAAAGTCAAACGAAGACAGCCTATAAGCTACTAAAGGAAAAAAAAAAAAAAAAACACAGCCCCAAATAGCACCTAACTATCTGAGTATATAATTTCTAGTTGATTAATAAAAAATAGTAAGTAGACACAGCAAATATGTAACTTGAGAAATTACTATATAGACGACTAAAGTCTTTTCTCGTTTTTTCACACAACAAATATTTCTCACATTGGCAAAACACAAGGCGACGGCCCAATGGCTTCCACCAATTTTCCTCTCATCTTCCTCCTCGTACTAGCATCTCTCTCTCTGTAGCTTTCGGATATTCTCTTTCCACAAGAGCTGCTTTTTCAAAGTAAGAACACCTTAGAATCATGCAAATATCTTTTATTGAGAAATAAATTTTAGAGAATATATAAAGGTTATAAAAAATAAAAAATGTACAAAGATATTAATTTCATATTCATTCTCATAGATCTTTTCGATACATTATACTATTAAGTAAGTAATTACAAATTATATACCCTGTTGGGAAATAATATATTAAACTTATATGGTGAATGCTCACGGAGGCGGTAAGCTTTAAAAAGAAAATAAAAAGCCTTTAAATGTTATAAAAAGCCTTTAAATGTTTTAAACTATCTCAAATTAATGTGTTGTTTGAAACGTGCGTGATATTATTTTGCTCTCTCTCTCTGTTTAGACAAGAAGATGAATCATTCCTTGTGGCTACGAATGATCAAGGATCATCAATGATCGTTGTTGAAGATCTAGTAAAAACTCGAAGTCTTCAAGCTCTAGTCGATGGCTCAAAAGTTGTTGTGAATGAAGAAGTTCCTAAGCGACGTTCAACCAAAAGTAAACTCTTCTCTAAACTACAAAAACTTGCTTCATTCTATTATATTTAGATCATATAGTCATAATCTCAAACCTTTTGATATATAAACAAACCCAATAAATTTGCAGGTTCGAAGACCAAAAAACCTAAGAGCGAGAAAAAGAAAAAAAGTTGGAACAGCTGTAGGAATCGTAGCCGCAGCTGATTCCTTTGTGTTATATACTTAATTCATCGGAGGCGCAAAAAACAAAAGGCTCAAAAGACTGCACAAGGTAACTGATTACATTAGAAGAAAAAAAAAAAAAAAAAAAAAAAAGGTAACTGATTACATTCCATGCATATCTTCTATATATTAATTGATAAGCAAAAGTAGAGAGTATCATTTATATTGTAAAGAATTACATATCAGGCCATTCATTTACTAGTTTAGTCAAAATTTTAAATTTTATTCATATTTTTCAGATTTTTCAGAAATATCACATATTGTTTTAGAAATACTATATAAATCATGATAAATATCTTATATCAAAGACAAATATTTTTTAGTAATCATTTTCATTATAAAATGTATAATTTTTTTTGAGGAAATTTCAAAAATGGCCCTCTTACAGTACTCTACTCGTTTTCATATTTACATCTAAACACAGTTTATTTTCGGTTATACCCTTTTTACAAGATTTTTTAAAGATATATAAAGGTTTTATAAAGATGCTTATGAAATCTAATTTTTATCGCTTAGATGTGCATTTTTTAAAATATTTTTGGTACGGTATGGGATATTTTAGAAAATGATAGTTTTAAAAAAAAACAAATTATGTTTGCTTTTAATATGGGTTACATAATTTTTTGCATAATTGTAGAAATATTTTTTATAAGAAAATATAAATTGCCATATAAATTTTCTATTTCTTAAAAATTGATTATCTCCATAAGATGGGGATACCTCATAAGATTACTTATTACTAATACATTTTTTGTATTGATGAACTGGTACACAAAAAAATCAAAGGGTCATCGTCGACAACTTTCAAAACAGAGGTTCATGTTTAAAGATCATAATCGTTGTATCTACAATTTCCTCTTCCTTATCAAACTTATTTACTATGTTTGTACTGTCTTGTTTATCTCTCAAAACTGTATGTCTACCAACTCATAGGCCATAGCCATGTAATTTCATTGTATGCATATTTAATAGAATGCCCTTTATCAAAAAAAAAAAAAAAAATTCATAATCGTTACCCATCGTCTCAGGCGAAGCTAACTTTTGTTTTTTTTTTTTCAATTAATCATTGTTCCCAAAATATTTTTATTTTACTTCCTTGAAATTTCAAAATTATTATTCAACGAAAAAAACCATGTACAAGAGTTGGAATTAAAGAATAAAAATAAAGCAACAACAAATTTTGAAAGACAGTACCTAAAATAGAGCCGATAGCACAAACTAGAGGTATATGGAAACTAACTATTCATTCTCACTACGAAAAAGGAACATATGAGTCCTTCCAACTTATGCATGCCTTGTAGTTAAAAGAGACAAATTTCCTTAACAATGATTGTATAAGGTGTGTTGAGTCAAGTTAACTACGTTAGGGCCTCCTCAAGTTCGTATGATAGAGCGTGGTGTCAAACACCATCCGAATCATGATGAATTCCAGCTTGCTATGGTTGGAGGTGATCAGGTGAATAATGTTATCTGTCCAGTCTAGGGTGGTAATAGAGCTGAGCAAAAGCACCTAAGATTGATAAGATTGTGTATATATATATATATATATATGGGCACAACAAGAAGGAATTCTCTCGTGTTTCTTCACATTCTGCACATAAACACAACTTTGTTCACATCTCATGCTCGTATTAATTCTCATGTTGTTAAATTGTTGTTTGTCTCAAACCATGTAATAAACGAGGAATGAGGAACTCCATGGAAAAAAAAAATGAGATCTCTCCAAGTTACCTTATACAGGTCTATGAATTAGGATTCTTCTATGTCTTCGCAAACGAGAAAGTGTCTCAAAACTGTAAGTGCGGATGAGGTAAATAAATTGCAGAAAGTAAACAAGACAAGAACTTTGTTAATGAGGTTCGGTTTTTTCTACTCCCCGGGACCAAGTCCAGATTCGATTTCACTAGAACAAGAAAGCAAATTACAACCAATTTGCAAACGCGTAAAACAAGCACAACCCTCTTGATTTACCGCTCCCTTCTATAACGTGAAACCTTAAGGATAATCTCTACCCTTAACTAAACTCCCCCTGAATCTAGATTTAATCAGGATAATCTAACCCTGAGCTAAACTCCCCTTGAGCCTAGACTTCAAAAACAAAACCACTTGATCACACAAGCACAAACCCGCAAAACTAAGTTGCACACAATCTCATAGAAAGCTCTCAAAGATTTCTTCTTTATGCCTCAGCTCTCTTGCCTCTCCAAGACGTCCTCAGCTCCTCCTTAAATAGCCAAAACGATTTCCTAATCACTATAGGAGAAAGTTTCCAATTTCCATAAGGAAAAGTAAATTTCCTTTTACACTTTTCCTTTTTCTTATCAAACTCTACTTTCATCAAGTCTTCCAAATCTCTTTTAGTCCTTTTTCTTTGTGATTCATCCTCTAAACACGTTCAAAACATATCTTCTCAAACCTTCTAGAAACCAACACTCACACAAAAAAACTGTAGCATCCTGTACTACTTCTTGAATCATTCAGAAACTCCACAGCCATAACAACTACATCTTCATTTTCCCCCTTTTTGACTATGTTTGTGAACTCAACAGTTCTAACTCCAAAACAACGTCACGAAACACATCATCATTCTCCCCCTGAATGAGTCACAACATGGTCAAAACTACTTGGAAAATTCTCCCCGCTTTGCAATACGAGGTTGATAGCCTAGTACACCACCTCCATAGAAATCATCTTTCTTAACCCAAATCGTCCTGCGCCTTATACCTCTATGACTGGATTCTTGAATGAATCTGAAACAATTTCTCTTAACATGTCCTTGAACTCCACAATGATAACATGTAGGACCATGAAATATCACATCATAAGCATTCTCTATTCGACTTCTCTCCCTCAACAATCTAAAACACCTCGGCCTAATATGCCCAACAACACCACAATGATGGCAAACATGTCGAAAAACTCGTCGAGGTGCACTATGCAATTCTTTAAATTTTCTTGTATTAGATGCAGTCTTAGCATTAATTGCAGACCCTGTCGCAGTTTCTGTGTCAGTTCCTGAAGCAGATGTGATCAAATCCAAGGCCACACTTATCAGTCTTGCCAATATTCAGAATATGATCCAACTTCTTTGTGCTATTATTAAGCATCCCCAAATTCTTTTGAGTTTCTTCAAGTAGTACTTTAGCTTGTCATGCTTCTTCTTTTTTCTCAGCTGCATATTTCTGTGCTTCAATGACTTTAGCCTCTAACTTGAGTTTCTCCTTAGTTAACACTGAATTCTTTTCAACTATTTTAATCCATTGATCTTTAAGAGAATTCAGTGTTAACTAAGAGAATTGAGTTAAGCAAAGCATATGAAGCTAAAGGAAAGATGAAGAATGCAGATGAAGTGAAGAAGGAATTTGACATTGGAGTTGCTCTTAAGGGATCATCAACTGAAGATTCAATGGCTATGTTGTCAAGACAATTTTCTAAATATCTGACGCAAAAGGGAAAAGAGAAGAAAGATAGAATTGATGAAGAGTTAAGAAGTTCATCAAAGAATGTGCAGTGTTTTGAATGCAAAGGATATGGACATGTTCGTTCGGAATGCGCCAATCTACAAAAGCATAAGAAGAAGGCCATGAATGTCGTTACTAGTGATTCTGAAACTGATTTAGATGATGAAGAAGAACTGAAGAATTTTATGGCGTTTACTAATTTTTTGCCAGAAACTTCAACAGAGTCTGCATCAGTGTTTACAACAGAGTCTGCATCAGCATCTGTAACAGAGTCTGCATCAGCATCTGTAACAGAGTCTGCATCAGCGTCTGCAACAGGATCTGCATCATCGTCTGCAACAGGATCTGCATCATCGTCTGCAACAGGACCTGCAATTAAAAGTGAAAGCGATCAATGTGATAGTGATGCAGAGAGTATTGATGATGAAGAATTTGCAGAGAATTACAAAGCCTTATATGAACATTGGCTTAAAATAGTTGAAAAGAATTCAGTGTTAACTAAGGAGAAACTCAAGTTAGAGGCTAAAGTCATTGAAGCACAGAAATATACGGCAGAGAAAGAAGAAGATGCATCACAAGCTAAAGTACTACTTGAAGAAACTCAAAAGAATTTGGGGATGCTTAATAATAGCACAAAGAAGTTGGATCATATTCTGAATATTGGCAAGACTGATAAGTGTGGCCTTGGATTTGAAGGAAAACTTTCAAAATCGGATCCGGTGTTTGTTTATGGTGGTAAAATCATGTCTGCTTCAGGAAATGACACAGAAACTGCGACAGGGTCTGCAATTAATGCTAAGATTGCGTCTGATACAAGAAAAATTAAAGAATTGCATAGTGCACCTCGACGAGTTTTTCGACATGTTTGCCATCATTGGGTGTTGTTGGGCATATTAGGCCAAGGTGTTTTAGATTGTTAAGGGAGAGAAGTCGAATAGAGAATGCTTATGATGTGAGATTTCATGGTCCTACATGTTATCATTATGGAGTTCAAGGACATGTTAAGAGAAATTGTTTCAGATTCATTCAAGAATCCAGTCATGGAGGTATAAGACGCAGGACGATTTGGGTTAGGAAAGATGATTTCTATGGAGGTGGTGTACTAGGCTATCAACCTCGTATTGCAAAGCAGGGAGAATTTTCCAAGTAGTTTTGACCATGTTGTGACTCATTCAGGGGGAGAATGATGATGTATTTCGTGATGTTGTTTTGGAGTTAGAACTGTTGAGTTCACAAACATAGTCAAAAAGGAGGAGAATGAAGACGTAGTTGTTATGGCTGATGGAGTTTCTGAATGATTCAAGAAGTAGTACAGGATGCTACAGTTTGTTTGTGTGAGTGTTGGTTTCTACAAGGTTTGAGAAGATATGTTTGGAACGTGTTTACAGGATGAATCATAAAAGAAAAAGAACTTAAAGAGATTTGGAAGACTTGATGAAAGTGGAGTTTGATAAAAAAAAAAAAAAAGGAAAAGTGTAAAAGGAAATTTACTTTTCCTTATGGAAATTGGAAACTTTCTCCTATAGTGATTAGGAAATCGTTTTGGCTATACAAGGAGGAGCTGAGGAAGTCTTGGAGAGGCAAGAGAGTTGAGGCATAAAGAAGAAATCTTTGAGAGCTTTCTGGGAGATTGTGTGCAACTTAGTTTTGCGGGTTTGTGCTTGTGTGATCAAGTGGTTTTGTTTTTGAAGTCTAGGCTGAAGGGGAGTTTAGCTCAGAGTTAGGTTATCCTGATTAAATCTAGATTCAGGGGGAGTTTAGTTAAGGGTAGAGATTATCCTTAAGGTTTTACGTTATAGGAGAGCAGTAAATCAAGAGGGTTGTGCTTGTTTTACGCGTTTACGAATTGGTTGTAATTTGCTTTCTTGTTCTAGTGAAATCGAATCTGGACTTGGTCCCGGGGAGTAGGAAAAACCGAACCTCGTTAACAATGTTATTGTCTTGTTTACTTACTGCAATTTATTTACCTCATCCGCATTTACAGTGTAATCAGGGTGAGGCCGCGATCACCTTGGATGTAAAATTATCTTCACTTTTTGGTCTACATGCTAATGATAATAGTTCAAAATTTACCCGTGAAATAATGTTTAAATTTGATTAACAAAAATGCGCTTGTTCTCTTCGCTACGTTAACTTCCTCAAGGTGCACTAGACTTATCTCTCTTGTTACAGCTTACTGCTTTAGTAAGATGATTGATGATTTCTTCCAAACTTTGGAATTTTTTCATCATGCATGCGGATATTCAACTTTCTTTTGTCTCAAGTTTCTTTCTATTAGCCTTCAAATAAGAAGTTGTCATGTTCCTCTTTTCTGGGATACACAACTGTTCCCACGATTTCTATTACCTTTTGTGCATTTATGCCAAAAGTTCTTATGTAAAGTGTGTTTATTATGTTCTTGTTGCCTTCGATCGGGATCCATCAAAAGTTGTCCGAGTCAAGTCTTATTCTTTTTATTTCTTTTCCTAAGTGAAATTGTAATGTATTTGAAATAGTAATGAATTTGAAATGGAAAGACGGTACACTTAAT